TACCACCATAATACAGAAAACTGATAATTCTGGCCATCACGATGGGAAACTTTCATGTTCACATCTCTGTTCTCACCTTTAGAGCTCCAAGTCTCAATCTTTTATGTCACAATAATTTATATCTCAGAATATAAGAGAAGTGTGGCTTACAAAGTAGTATTTACCCAAGAGCAGGCGGTGGAAACTGTTGGGCATAAATCAAAATGTTCTGTTTTACTCTGAGAGATGTGTTACTGGCTGTGTGTGAGGAAGCAGACTGACATTTACAAAATCTTGATCAGGAACAGCTGGGAGAGGCAAGAATGTCCATGGCCTGCAATGCATTGTGTATTATGCCAAGAAGCCTCCAGGGGCTGACCTGTGGCCAAAAAATACAACTCGGTTTGATTGAGCAAAGTATTCCATTGTACGTGCGCTGGGTTCTATTTTCTGTTTGAAGGATTATGTGACAGTTTTAATATTTACTCTTTTTTTACTCTTGTTTTACATATTTGTAGCAGCAACTGGTGCAGAAAATAACCATCTATTGCACAGTTCTGGACCCTCACTTTATCATTTATAGTTGCCCAATATCAACTTGGATTGTGGTTTTGATTACGAAACCTCTTAATTTGAGTCGGTCTCAGCTCAGAATTGTGTAGCAGGTTTGCACAATATTTGATTTGTTAAATGTTATAATGATATTGGCTTTTGCAGTACTGATATCACAGTAATATACAAACGAGCCCTCTAACCAATCATATCTTTTTACTGTTTGCTGTGAGCATCTTAACTAATCATACTTTTGAGCGTGTCTGAGGGTCTTTTTTGTGAATCAGTGTATTCAAGTCATCCAGCAAAGTAAGTTATCTTGGTCAAAATAGTGCAAACTGATCTTACTGTTGATTTTTAATGCATTGTGAGATACATCATAATCACAGTGTGCAGTACTATAATCACAGAGCACCACCTAATGCGCTGTAAAATGGAACACGTTTTTTTATGTAGTTCAACAGATTTAAGTAGATTTTGGTCACCATCTTGTATCCCCCCTTAACACTGTCTGCAAAGTTAAGACACCAGTCGGACAGATATTTCTTTAACCATTATTTATTTCCTTAACCATTATTTTGCACCATGAAAGGACAATTTTTTTCCTCTAAAGTCCTCTAATCACCAAATTGTGTGTATAGCACACAGTATTCACATCTACAGTGAGGTCCATTAATATTTGAATGCTGAAATACACAAAATTTTAATTTTAGTTGTCTACTACAGGATACTGGAGTTGAACTTAAATAATGAATATGAGCTCAAAGTGCATCAGCTCTTTAATTTCAGGGTATTTACATCCGTACCTATACCTCCTTCACCCTGTTTCATGGGCTCAAAAGAAATTGGACGAACTAACAATCATAAATTATTTTATTTGTAATACTTGGTTGCAAATCATTTGCAGTCAATGACTGAAGTCTGGAACCTATAAACGTTTAATTCCTACACTGTTTAGGTCAGGGGTCAGCAACATGTGGCTCTTTTACTGCCCTGTTGAGGCTCCACAGCAGAGTTAGATTTTTAGGTAAAAATAAAATCGTCCTTTGCAGTAAAATAAAGCTCTGCTGATCGTTCAAACACAGTTTTAACAATAAATGGTCTTAAACGCTGGAGTTAATGCGTAACCCTTTGACCCTGAAGATTGTGCGCGGACTGTTGGTCAGATAGCAATGCAGATAAGTCTCGCATAGCTAGTAGTTAACAAAACGGCAAAGATCATTTGGAGACAAACGGACGTACTTGCATTTATAAGCGCTCCAACTGGTTTCCTGATACGTTTAATGAGAAACTGGCAAACACTAAAAAGTCGCCAGTCTAAAGTCAGCTTCTCGCTCAGATTTTCCCGTTCCACCTTAAATAGTGCAGCGTCCTGGCGCTTGAGGCACCTTTTAAGGTGGAACAGGAAAATTCAAACAAGAAGCTGGCGAACGAGAAGCGACTTCAGCCCCATAAAGAAGTCGAACGTTGAGAGACATTTTACAAGAAACTATTTCACTTTTGTGGAAAAGTTTCCTGCCGGAGATGCGAGAAAAGCAGCTACAGCTGAGCTAAAGCTCAAAGCAGAGCAAAGTAAGTCTGCATTTTTCGTTTATTTTACATTTTTTGGCCTGTATTAGTACATTAGCATATACTGAGATATATTTACAGCCAAGATGGTAAAATGGACATAAAATGTTGTGGCTCCCAAGGTGGTTTGACTTTTGTTAAAAGGACAAAATGGCTCTTCTTTACATTTGAGTTCGACCCCTGGTTTAGACGACTTGGATTTAAATAACATTGCTCTCAAATTAAAGCTGGTAGTCTGCACTTTGAGCTCAAATTCTTTATTTAACTTCAACTCTAGTAGCTTATGTAGGCATCCAAAATAACAATAACTTTCGTTGACATCCACATATTTATGGACCCAACTGTATTTTGTTTTAATCATCTTCTTAGTGTCTGTAATTTTGAAGAATATAAACATCATCAGCCTCCAAACGACGGGGTTAGTTTTAACACCGTGTTACAACTAAGCCTCCCAAATAAACAGTGTGGGGAAACTGCATATCCCCCCATATAAATTCAAACCAGTTTATTTTTTTTTAACCTTTTTTTTTCACAGTATTCGTGAAGAATGTACTTTAGATGTCAAATACTGCTCATATTTGTTTTGCTGAGTATGATTTTTTTATGTATTTAGGTTAAGAAGCTCATTTGGTTTGAATGAAATAGATCTGTATGTGTGTAGATTCATTGTATAGAGATGTACTGTTGGGTTATGCATCCCTAGTATGTAGTTGTGAATGTTCAGCCATGCCAGTCTCTGGATTACTGGAAGTGAGATGGAATCAGGCCCAGGACTGCTGTTGGGTCCTGAATGTCTGATCGAGCCTGTCCACTGCATTATTCTCAAATGAATGGCCATTTCCTGCCTGCGCTTTTTTCCCCAGCCAGTTGATGCCGGACCAGCAGTGGCTCAAATGTCTGCCAGTTGACAGGGGAATAGATGCACGTTGCCTGCTTAAGCTGCTGACCAGTGTCCACTTTACACATCTTGATTGTCATTGTTGAAATCAGCAGAGGCTTCCAAGAGCTGATCTTGGATCTGCTGTTTGGAGCATTCAGCACTTACCAGCTTAGCAGGCACTGTTAGCGCCCCGCCCAGTGTCTGACACGGCTCTCTCAGAGGAACGTTTGTGGGTTCAGGATGCTGGGGGCTCAGCTGGCATCTGCAATTCTTAATGGCTCGTCTTCATAGGAAGGGGATGCATTAGCTTACCTCAGTGTGCTGAAAGCTAATCGAGCGCTTACCGCAGACTGCTTTTGCTGTCAGGCAGCAAATCCTTGTAACTCAGAGAGCCAAAAGATGCTCAGCACAGATTAGCTGTCAAGACAACACAGTACCAAGTTTTAACAATCCAATTTTCAGCACCAGTTACCTAAAATAGCCAGAAGAATGGAGATTTCCCTCAGATGGGCTGTCTGTAATGAATCTATACATTGTGAAATTCTAGGATATTTTATGCATCACAATATTTTGTTTTCCTGAGGTTTGGTAAGTTGGAATGGGCAAAAAAGCAGACTAATTATTTTAATGAAACGTGCATATGGGCAGGCTTCTGTAAGTACTGAAGATATTTGTTATATCCTCAAAGCATATTGTTGTCGGAAGAAAACCTCATATCTCCAAAATGGTCACTTTACAGGAGAAGGAAAAAACCTACTTTACTTTTAATGTAAGTCATTGGAACCAGACTTTTTTCCAAGTCATTTTGGGTCATTTCTTTTGGTCCATTCTTCATGATATTTACGCACAATGTAAAGAACAACAAGTATTTTCAAATTATGTCAAAAACTGAAAAACAAAAATGGAGATACAAGGTTTTGGTCCGACAGCAGCGATATATATCTATAATAACTAAATATAATTATATGGCCCACTTTACAATGATGGCATTAGCTGCAACAAAATTTTATTTTAGAATATTTCTGTCTGTAAAGAAGTATATGAGGGCTGCCATGATTCCTTAGTGAAATAAAATTTGACCACTTCAGAATCACCAGTGATTCTTTGGCACTTTGCATAAGAGTAATGCATATAGGCCTCTGAAGTTGTGTGCTATTCTGAAGTTGTTGCCTTGCCCCTATTAGGAGCTCCAGGTCTAAGCAGATTCTCTCTTTAAGAAAAATGAACAGCATTTTCAAAAATCATCTTGGTTGCTTCCCTGTAGTGAAAATGTTCCAAACCTGATATTTTTTGTCCTGTGTACAATTTCCCCCCAAACGTCACTGAATCCTCTGAATTATGAGTTTGTTTAGGAGTCAGAATGTTAATAATACTACATAGCTGATACAAGCAAGCTCACAGTCTTGTACATTGAACTGACGTCACATGAAAGTATGTACTGTTTACTCCATCTACTCAAACCTTAGGCTACTGCTGCCAAAGCATCTTAACCACCACATTTGACAGAACTTGGTGGTTTTTGTGGGGTATTTTGGTGAGATACTAGTAATAATACTGAGGCAGTATTATGATTTCAGTTCAGTGCACTGCAGTCTTAGCTTGCGTGTTGCAATTGTCATATTTTGGCTTCTTAACAACCTCATAATTCAGAGAATCCAGCAATGTTCAGAGAACGAACGTCTATATGGGAAAACATATCAGCTTTGGAAATTTTATCACTATCATTTTTTTCATTGAGAAAACCAGCTTAGAACAGGAGTTCCTAATATGATTTATAACAGAATGACAACACATTCTCCTGTTGGTCTCTCTTGTGGTAAGAGTCTGATGGGCACACCCGTTTTTATGTTTTTTGCCACATAGTTCAGTTCAGTCCATTTTTATTGTTTGGACTTTGATTACTCTATTGGTAGATTACTTGATTAATAATATAATCAACAACGAAAGCCTTTGCTTGTTCTTAATGTAGCAATGCAATATTTAATAGACTAATTTTATATATATTTGTTTTTTCCATCAGTCAAAGGCATTAAGGGAGAGATGGCTGCTGGATGGAGCACCCTCTGCTGGCTCGGAGGAAGACGAAGCGAAGAAGCAGCTTCAAGAAGACGAGGCCAAGACTAAAGGACTTGAGGAGGCTATTATGAGGTACGCTAATTAGTCCAAGTGTTTGGATGAAATGCCTCACGAAACAGTCAGAAAAAGGGGTCCATAGTTCAGTAGTAACAATGAGAGTCTGAAGCTGGATTCATCAACGATGGGAGTCTGAAGCTGGATTCATCAGTCTCTGCAGCAGAGTGTGGGTCCAGTAGCCGCTCCTGCTCCGTTTTTTCCTGATAGTGAAACAGTGGCATCAATCTTCCCCCGGCAGGCGGGTCAGCGTGGTTCTCCATCGGCCTGATTAAATTCCTCCTCTTGTGCTGTGGCAGCCAGGGCTCAGAGCAGGGCTTTGGCTCCAGAGGGGCATGCCACTGAATGAGTAATGCTGGAGAGCTATTGTCCCCTATAGGACTTAGTGTGAAAATAGAGGTTGATGAAGGTATCATATTAACTTCACTTTTTATAGGACAGTTGTCTGCACGGTAGTTTTTCAGTGAGCATAGCCTCTGCCTCGCCCTCGTCTGGGACACAAAGGGCTTTTTATCATTAATTGATGTCGTCTTTAAAAGGACGTTACATTTTAAATGTTTGTGTTGGTCTGCCATGAGTATTTTTCAGGTGTTTTTAGACATACCCTGGTGTTCAAAAGTATGGAGTCAACAATTGGTTAAGTGTTCTTTAACTAAGTTAGCTTTGCTGCTGTTTTCTAGCTAATGCTAATGCTTCATGCTTGAGGCACAATAAGGTACGCTGTGTTGGCAAAGTCTGGAGTTCCATAATTTGGAGTATATATATATAAAGTACTGTGCACACATGGAATCACAACATATTGTTTATTTATATTCTAATATTACTAACAAATGCTTGCTGTCCAGATAAATGGCTTTACATGTCATTTTGGTGATGGATTCCCTCCAGCCCTCTCTCATTTTATGTTGTTTTCCTGCTCTAGGCTGGAACAGGAACTGGAGGAGTTGGAGACAGGTGTGTCCGCAACGTCCACCAAAGAAAGCCTGTCAGACGTGGCCCAGCAAGAGGAAGTCAAATCTGTGGACAACAAAGTGAGTCTCAGCGCTTCGTTCCTGCAGTCACACTCACAACACACAGCAGGTTCACCACACGCTGAGTTACCAGTTTATTGGTAATGTACAGTTACTGACTGTAGTCCATCTGTTGCTATCAGCCACTAACTGATAACCTAGCCAGTGGAAACAGTTCAAACTTACAGTGAGCTTACAGTGCAGTTCCTGAATGAAAATCAAGTCTGGTCTTTCTGGGTGAGGTTGAGCCTCATTCACTAATATCTAAGTTTTTTCTTAAATGTGTTCTTGAGAAAGGTCCTAAGGAAGAGTCTGTCAGATTCATGACGTGTTTTTAAACCGCAGAACTGTTTGCTCCTTTGTGCTCTTGAATGTGTGTAGATTCTGTTCTTACCTAAGAACAAATCCCAACTAAGAAAACATTGGTGAAGGTCAGAATCTTTGTGAAAACTGAATAAGTGGTTTTAAGAAGAAATTTCTTCTGAAGAATGGTTGGTAAATGAGGCCCTCTCTTCAGCAGCACTGCATCCTTCAGTTTCATATTAGTGATTAGGTTAGATGCTTTGACAGATTGCTTGTTGAGCGTACAATGCTTTGCGCTCTCAGGCTGTGCTGCTGAACAGTTTTGTAGGCCCATAGGCCTCCTCTGGTAGGTAAAAAAGACCCTAATATATCATGTTAAGGCCCATCATTGCCCTTGGTTTTGCCTTCTCCATGGACCATCTGAACTGTCTAGGGTGAGATCAGGCATGCACTGGCCAAAAGTGTAATAATTGACAGACAATTGACAGACCGTGACCTTACAGACAAACCCCTAATGGCTTAACACAGGCGTGTCAGTAGTATTTCAAAAGCAGCCGCTAGAAGAAAAGCCTGCTTACATCTGTAATTATGGCCTCTGATTGTGCTTTCCTGTGCTGATCAATATCCACTTCCCCATCACCAGAGACTGCATCAGTATATCTAATGTTTTCTTGTCTGATTCTTCCTAAGCAGATTTTGTAAGTAGATCTTTTAACCGTTGTTAATTACCAGACTACAGGCGGATGGGTCATGTGATATGGTGAGCTGATATGGCAGGGAGGTGCAGGGCTATTTTTCTTTTTTGGATGCACACTGGCTGATGCAGTTCATTAAAAATCAGAACCATTTTCAGCTTAAATTTAATTATTTTTCTTCCAAATAGAGTGTAAACATTGAGCCGGACCTTCATTTTGAGCCTGAGCGTGTGACATTAATACAAAATATGTATGACGTGAACCAAAAAACTCTGATCCGACACCTCTGACTTCTAAAATTACTATTTCAGGCTTTACAGAGTGAATTGCAACAGTGTATGTATTCCATATTTTGATGTTTTTCCCCCTGACTCAACATAACGTCTTTTAGTCTTGACAAGTAAATCTTATATAGTGCTGCCTTGAACATGCCTGTTCAGAAACGCTGTACAGTTTGCAGTAGAAGGCCTTTCCTTATAAGCACTTATCAGCATGACAAAGATTTCACACAGTCATTTACTGAGATTTACTGAGTACTCTCAGTCTCCTGCAGCCTTTCAGTTAATTATAGTGGAGTGCAGCTCCTTTGTCATGTGACCTGCTGTTTATATCCATTTATACTTATTTCAAACTGGCCCCAGCAAAACAGTCGAGATGCTGAGCTGAATGACTCACTTTGCTGTTAAACACCTACATACTACACCTCCTAGCTGGATGTGCTGGACTGCTACTGACTTGCAAAGAAAAAAAAACAAAAAACAAAACAAAATGATAAAACATGCTGATGACTGTTTGCTAAAAGGGGAGCTCCTCCTATTTTTAAAATTTCTGCGTAATTCTGCAAGATGTAAACAAAGTCATTCAGGATGGTCTGATGTAAAATGGAGCATTGTAAAGAACATTACCGATGGAATTCCTTCTTAATATAATGTTTAAGGCTAGTTTTCCCAACAGAGAATAAACTGGGTCAAACTTTTTGGGGAACTTAGGCAAGATTTTTTGCCAAATAAATGATCAAATTAATAAATTAATAACAGTATAAACAAAACAATTAGCTTGCTGTCTGATGTACTGTAAAGTTAGGAGATAACTATTGCCAGTGACAACCACAAGTGGTCTAAATTATATAAATTTATAACTGGCTAATTTGTGTATAATTGATGATTGGACACTAACGAAAAAAAACAGTATGTCTATATCTTTAAATGTGCACTCTTTTTTGAGGCACCATTAATCAGCTGCTTTTCTCCCCTCACTCGAGCATCTTAGACAGCGTAATGGTAAGGTAACCTAAAAATTGTTAGAGGGCCCCCTGGTGGGCAACTGCTTATGTCAAGTAGCACTGAATGTTGCAATAAAGATTTGTCATTGTCAATTCTTAGTAGTGTATAAAAGTTAGAATTGTCAGAAATACTTTGAGAGGAGACTAATTTGAGTATAAATTTGGAATAACTCTCACTTTCTCTCTCCTCTCTCTCTATCTCTCTTTTCTCTCTTTCCTCTCAGGTTATTGAAGACTCTATAAAAGGTAACTCGTTCTTACTCCATTATGACTATGTTGTACTATAGTCGCATGTTCATTAACTCATCAGTAACGGTTTTTCCAAATAATGTGTAAAAAGTGTACTCAGTGTACTGAAAACATGCAGCGTCAATTGATTGGTGTCAGGGCGCCTGTATGAGAGTCTATTACAGAAGCAGAACATCAGGTAGAAAGTACCTGAGCAGTGAGGACGTCCTGCAATGGAGCAGAGATATCCAGACACTAGTACAACACTTACAGATGACAATTGTAGTATAATCAAGGAGTGGGCAATATGTAAAAATACAGTATCACAATACTTGAAGACATTTTCCCAACACACAATATGTGTATATTTTATGTTATTTATTTTTTCTGAGGTTTAAGTAATACAGTAATAAAAAATACTGTTAAAACTATTATTGGTTTTATTTTATTTCTTTTTAAACCCTAATTTAGTCACTGCCAATTTTTTTTTCATTCCCACTCTCCAGTTAGGTCTCCCCCTTTCACACAATGCTACCAAGCTGAGAGGGTAAAGATTAGCACCAGCTTCCTCCAACACATGTGAAGCGCCACCACATTTTTTTCAGAATTGCCACTAACACAACCCAGCTCAACGCGCTTGAAGGAGAATGCTAACTACCAATTCTGTTATGTCAGCTAACACACATTCGCATTGGGTAGCATTGCGCTGGGTGATGGGGGAAGAGGAAGGGCCATTCCAGCCACCCAGAGAGAGAGGGAGGCCAGTTATGCTGTCTTATACTCCCTGCCGTGGATGGCTGTGGCATTACCAGCGATCAGACTCAAAAATAGGGCTAAAGATTAGATAATTAACAGAGCAACTTCATTCAGTTATGCTCTTTAAGTCAGTGTTGTGTGCTGACTATATCCATGATATGCTCAGAAAAGCATATTGTGGCATATTGAAACAATTTATCACGATACAAAAAATATGGTTATATTGCCCACTAAAAAATCTACATTTGTTACAGAATTCATTAGATTCATTCCTTTTTTGGTATGTAATCTCGTATTTTGTGCCATCTCTAATAGACACCCCTCTTCACTCAGGTTCAAGAACATATTTTGAGCTATGTTATGTTATTTGTCATCTTGGGGATGTGTTAAGGTTCCATACTTTCACACTGACATTGTTAGAGCTTTTTCTACAAAGCAAAATGAAGGAAAAGCCAGACTGAGCATTGAAGAAGCTAATGAATGAGTCACTAAGCAGACAAATGGTGGGTAATTAAGTCAAAACTTACATCTGTGCTCTTAAAGGCACAGGAGGACCTTCTTCATCATGTTGCTGCAGCATACAGTGTGTGTCTGGGCATTTTCCCTCTCTCTTTCTGTCTTTTATCACTCTCTGTCCTCTTCCACTCCTCATGTCCTTGTTTCATGACCTTCATTAGTGGTCAGAGAGATCAAAGAGGTCAAAGTTCACGTCAGCCCTCGTCTGGAGAAATCCAGAGGTGACTCTGACATGATGAGAGCAGGTGAGTGTGGCTCATGCAGAGACACATCCTTCACGTCTCAACTCGCTCTGCATTATGTATCATTTAGTTTAAAAAGGAGAGCATAACCTGGGCTGATGCTGTTCACATGCATTGACTTTGAAATGTTGATTATAATTGCTAATATTCAGTGCACAATTCATTCTTAGAGATCGAAACACAATCATTTAGAGTGGTTTGATGTGAAATACTCTTTTCTTACAGAGTCAGAGTTGTAATAAGGCGTTATAAGGCAAAATATTGCCCAAAGGAAACTTACTTACTTCACTGTTTTACCATTGTCAACCTTACATATGAAAACTGGTCATTTTGGGAGAGTGAATATGGCTATATTTGCATTGTAGACATTACATCGCCTGAATCTAAGTCTGTAATTTTCTCTACAATGAGCCATTTCATATTAAACCACTCTGAATGACCTTCTTTATGTCCAAATGACTGAATTATGCAGAAATCTTGGTGGAATTCCCCTTCAAAATGGACAAAAAAAGGCAGGTGTTTTTTTTTTGGCTATATTGTTTATATTCTTTTACTATGTGTTACATTTGTGTATTCAGTGTATTTATAATTGTAATAATTCCAAATTGTACTCAAAATAAACAAATCAAATTGTTGTGAAGTTTGAAATGAAGCATAATCAAATCGGTGTGACATCAAAGATTTACAGCTTAGTTATTCGAGTTTATTTGAAGTGTTTAACAGATCGTCCTTTAGAAACATTATCATTTAGAGTGTTTTGTTGCTCATTCTTTTGAAATGGCTTCAAATGGTCAGCAGTATCTGACTGCTGTATCATGGGGCCTCTTCACTGCTGAGAGGCCCTTTGGCTTCTTAATCAAACATTTACTTTAATCTGTGACATAGAAGCCTGGAGGGGAGAGAGAAATTAAGGGCTGTGAGGTAGTGAAGGGCCTCTGAGGGCACTGGGACTACCCTGGGAAAGAGAGGCGCTCATTAGTTCTACAGCAGTGCCTCTATGTGTGTAGGAACCATGCTGAGTGTGGTATTCAGCAGGTTGATTCATTGGGACGGTACAACAGTGCTGAAGCGCTGTTTAAATGAAAGCTTATTGAAAAGTAAGCTACCATTAGATGTACAGACTTATGGATATGGACTAGTTGTATACTACAACTTGTCTTCAGTTAGAGTTTAGTCGTTGTGTACATGAGGTAATCCTGTAATTAGGGCACCTATATAACTGATGATGTCTTGCACACCAAACATGATTTTGTGGACATCTGTCCAGTTTTTGCTCATTTTTGCCAGTGATGTGAATTCAGTGATTAATGATGGCCTGTGTCAACCAAGCTGAGAGATCAGCTGTGTCCCAGCAACTAGAACTTTCTCTCAAACGTCAGAAGAATAAGTTTGTCCTCTGCTTTGTCATGAATGGAGTTGGCATCTTCAAGAGTGGCTCAAACTGAATTACAGCAGACATGTTATAAACGAAGAGATGGGTCACTGCGAAAGCTCGTACTGCTCAACATAACGTCTGTTTACAAGGAAAATCCCATCCTTGAACAAAATGAGCCAATCAGCTTGCTGTTTAAGCCACAAGTGAGGAAAGCTCCTACTTATTTTGGAGATATGTGGGTTACTGGAAATAATTTAAGCCAAACATTTTAAGTATTTATGCTGGTTTTGTCAGGTTTTAGAACTGATTTTAAAAATGTTGAACCATGGCTTGATAGGCGTCTGGTCTTGTACGAGTGGACATAACTGCCCGGGGGCGTTGCCAAGATGGCCGTCGATTGACCAGGCTTTCCTGTAAGGACTTTGGTTACAGACATCTGAGCTGTATATGAAAGCTCTCATAAAGATTTAACTTCTGAAAGAGGTGAACCTCTCCCTGCTTCTTTATTTTCTAAAATGGAAAGTAGCGTTTCCAGTGCTATGTGTCCATTTTCAACAAAGGATATCATTTCCTTGGGAATTCTGCTTGTTTTTTTTGGCTCAACGCCAACAACTCAGTGAAATTCCATAAAAATTGAATTTGGTGTGTGTGTAGTTTTGATATGAAAATATTCACACTGAGTGTGTTTACATGCACTTAATCTGATAACTGCAGAAAATCTGATTCTGTCAGTAATCCGATCAACGCGTTTACATGCTAACGGGTAAACTCACAAAAGAAGACGTGGCGTAAACGTAATGTTAAAATTGAACTTCATACTGTGGCTTTTTTTTTAAACACCATGCCACTTTATTTGAAAATATGAACATACATCATCTAGAAGATGAAGAATATTTAAATCCTTTATTTCGTAAAGCATGTAGTTGGTTTCGGCATCACTCCAAAAGTGTTTTGCTGCGTCTCGCGGCAACGCTGCTTGCTGATTTCTGGTACAGCAGTCTGTTTCACACATGCGCAGACTGAGAAATCCGAAAGAAATCCGAGTAAGAGTTTACATGCACTGAGAAAACCCGATTACTGAGCTAAAATCCAGCTCTCTCAGATTTCTAGACCTTACACTGGTCTGCAAAAATCCGATTATGATTGGATAAATTAATGAGTGCATGTAAACATACTCATTGTTGTGTCACGTTCAGTATGCAGTGCCATATTTGTAAACATTATATTTATTGAAATAGGTTAACATTGAAAAAGCATGTGCATTGGCTTATGCATTATTTACTTATTATAATATACAGTGTCCCTGATTCATCAGAGTTGCGTAAAAAGAGCACAGAGTTGACCGCATTTAATGATGTATGAACTACTCTGAGTTTGATTCATGAAAATTTTGTATGACGTGTTTGACAACTAGATAGACTGTAAGAAACAAAATGTCTCAGTTTTCTAAGATGGTAGAATGATGTGGTTGTGTAGTGTGATTATTTTCCTCAGTATAAAACAAAAGCACAGTGTAATATGTGTGTAAATGTTACATGGAATAGTTACAGCATTTGTTTATATCAGTATGCATGTAAAATAAGTACATCCAGTTTTGTACTGGATGTGCACAAACTATTAGTGTTGTTATTATTTTCTATCTATCTTGTTATGATAATTTTTTCTCGTTTTACAGTCAGATTTGAGCACAACTTTGATGAATAAGGGCCATTATTTCCTATAATAATGCCATATATTTATTTATGTATTGTTTGTGGTTTTTTACTTGCTGAAATGTTTCAGGCTCTCAGATACTGTCTTCTGTCTCTGTGGGTTAAGCGTCCAAAACAGAGCTACTAATCATGTGTATTTCATCTAATATTGTGTCTGCTAATTCTCTCTGTCTTTCAAGCCTTTGTCTGCACGTATGCGTGTGTTTTGGTGTGTCCAGTCAGTAAAACCTCACGCTCACATCAAACCGTCCCTCACTTACAACCACCAAGTTTGAAGAGCCGAATGGGAATTAATAGCAAAGTTATTTTTAGGCAGATTCTTTCAGAAAAGATGAGGTTGCCATGGCAGCCGCGCTCCATTGAAAAGGCAACCTCGGTGCTGCTCGCTTAACTGTCGTCATGGCAGCATGAGACCTGCAGGACACAATACTTAACGAAGTAACCTTTAGAAAACGGGCCACTGGCAGCAGCTCTGTAATTGAAGTCATGATTGCAGTCTACACAACATTTATCTCTCTGTGACCTAATCCTATATTACAATGCCATCCATAATAATCACAGGGATACTCATTACACAGTACACTGCCCTCCGGGATTCCTGGCACCCTTAAAGAATATGAGAAAAAGGCCTATGAAAAAGTGTCTTTGTTGTGTTATCAGCTCAATCTTACACTGTAAGTATGAGAGAAATCTAAGCTTACAGTGAGCAGAATTCTTCAAAGTAAAAACAAATCTGGAGGGCGCTGTAATATGAGTGTATTTGAAGCCATGCCATAGAAAATAATTGCTTGCAGTTGTATTCAGGCTTATGTGCCAAGGGTAATAGCATATTGAGCTCAGGACAGACAAAACTGTAGTATTAGTTTTAGGTTAATCACTTATAACTACAGCGTTCTGGGTTTTGCTGGGTGAAATATCCTCTATACCTGTATCAGTATTGGATATTAATAGATAAAAAAAAGATATTCATAATACTGTTCTATTCTATGAAATAGTTCATGGTGAACCATGACTGGCCATAACTGTCAAAACTTGATCAAAAACAAGAACAAACTTTTATGATGATGCTAATTTACGCCCCTACACTGTTAGAAATAAAGGTTCTGTGCAGGTACATTTTCCATTCATCAAGGTACAAACAATGTAAATGTACTCTCAAAGGTACAACAGTGGTTTTAACCCCTTAACATTCCAGGTTTATTTCATACAAAGGCTTATTATTCAGTAACTATAGGGACTTCAATGCAAACTAATGGAGCTGTTCTTAGGTTATAGAAGTGTGTAATAAAACTTTCGCTTGTTAAAGGGTAAAGGCTTGTTAAATATGTTTTTCCCAGTGGAAAAGTACATATTTGTGTCTTTTCATGACCTAATATTTTAAAATAGAACAATAACATAAAAAGCCTGTGTTTGGAGTCAATACAACTAATATAATCTCAATGGATTGTGATACAGTCATGTTCCCTGACTAAAGGTACTGAGATGTACCCTTGAGGGTACCACCCCAGTTACAAGAGAGGTACTACCCCAGTGACAGTTTCGTACCGTTTTTTCTGAGAGTGTATGGAATTTCTTATAGTATGTTAAAGCTAAATTAACATTGATACATAATATTTTTTGGCCGTTCTTTGTAAAACAGTCTTTTGAAACTTGTAACAGATATTACGCATGTTTTATTGAGACCTGGTTAGCTTACCAATCGTAAGGTAGTGATGATGTATCTAAGACTTTCATATGGCCTACAGTGGCCTTTTTTCTCACAAAATTGGCCCCACCCATTAAAAATCAAAATGAGATTGATCGATTTCACTGTTCTGTCCTGATAGACCATTTTTACACGTACATATTGTATGCAGTGGAAGTTGTCAAAGTAGGAAAAACATTACATCAGTGGCGTCGTTTACAAATGAGAATGTAGACAAAGCCCTCTTATAATGTCTCTGATTAAGAGGACTCACGTTTTTACCTCCTTATCAAGGTATTTACCTAATTTTCCCATGAAAGACGATCAATTAGTGGCATTTTTTATTTTCAGAGAGAAGCAAGCTTGACGAGATCAACATTAAAAGTAGGTTACTGACGTCTGTTGCTGCGGCACTGGTTCGGCGAGCGGTACAGAGTTAAAGAAGGTTCAAATCCGTCTGTGAACGGGTCACTTTTATTTTATGCACAAATTAAAAACTATGGTGTTACCTTAGTTAGATAAAATTAGGTTAACTATCATAAGCCAGTGAACCTGCGGCTACAGGTTTTTGTGTGTAATGATTGTGTTGATCAGTATGTTTTGATGCTTTTCCACAGTAAACGTAAGCATTAGTGATATTACTGAAGTAATTAAACACGGTCATGTTTGTTGGCTTATACAGGAACACTGACCTGGGCATTTACAACTATGGACACGGTACAAAACAACGATAAAATAAGACAGAGGAAAATGTACAAATGTTAAATCACATAATACTACCTAAAGGCGATCAGACATACCTGACTAGATTAACTTCACTCCCAGTCTGCATAACGTTAACTATATTCTAATATACATTACAAGCTAACTTTAGCTCATTTAGCCTTATTGGGAAACTTCACATGATATCCTTAACCTACGTTCATAGTCAAATGAAAGCCGCTTCACCAAACATAGAACACCTTGGATAAATATCTTAATAAGGTCATAAAAATGAGTGAGTCCTCCACACCAGAGACATTACAAAGAAGGACTTTGTCTACATTCTTGTTTGTAAATGGCACCACTGTGGTTTTCCCGACTATGACAACTTCTGCTGCATCAAATACACAAGTGGGAGAAGAGCCTATTATGTTAGCGGTTTAATGTGTGAGGCCTTCAGTCCAGCACCTGAAGTCCTAACCAGTGGGAGAACTTGCTTGGATGTATCTACCTAAATACCATGGAAAAAAAATACCTCATTGGTCAGTTTTCTGTTGGGCATTTCGCGGCTTTGTCCCTTATGTATCCATTCAAATCTGAAATAAGGACATTACATGCACGATTATACTATTAAATGTTCGTATGCATTTGGGTATGTAAATAAAATGAATACACTAAAAATTACAGATGTGCAATTTTGTAGATCTCAGAAATCATTAGCTCCTAAAAGGCCCTGAGGGTTTCTGACTGCTGTTGCCACATGGGTAGAAATACTATGTAAAGTTCCTTTTAACATAGACTACCAGTACTCAGGCAGCTTAGGTTAATTAATCGTATTAATGCAGTATGATCTGATGATACAGTGATATATTTGGGAAAACGTTTCTAGGCTGAGTGACTGACTGTCTGGTTTTGTGAGAATGAGAGCGCCCCTTTGCAGGATGCTAATCTCATCTCTCGTTGGCTGCCCAGCGATGTACTCCGTAGAGATCACAGTTGAGAAGGACCTGGCCACGGGCGAGACCAAGGTCTTGTCCACCAGCACACTACTCCCTAAAGACCTTTCTCAACAGGGGGTCAAAGTGTATGAGGATGAACAGAAAGGTGACTGGTACAGGAGGGCTTAATGACAGGCTGCTTTAGTTACAAGGCTACTTTACGAGAAGTGCAAGATGTTCCTTCTCACATCTTAAAGGTTACATTTGGAAGAAATAGTACAGAGAACTTAAGGAGGAATCGTTTGCTTAGTGGAATCAAGCTTTGCGTAAAGGCAGAATATTGGCCCAGTACAATAATGAGAAATGGTCGAACTGACCCACATAACAACAGCTTCTCGTAAAGGTACGACTTCAGTTTAGCATGGCTTAGCTGAGCCACTGCCGCTCTTGAGATTTTCCGTTGTTGTCATTCTAATTTCCCAAAAATTTCTCCCATCATGTTTAAACACCAAATCATTCATTTTTGTGTGCTTTTTACAGCATTATCATTTGCCAGTTGTACTGAATTTTATGGCTATAGTTTGTAGACATGATTTGCACCTCCACCCAGCTTGGAGCTACCCTGCCCTCCACACCCTTTGGATTTTAGTGCTGTGTACTTGCAGCTACCTCAGACATGATTTGTCAGTTTCTTGTTTCCCAAGGGAAAACGTTTCGCTTGAGTTCATGTAGAGTTAAGGTTCACGTTTTTAAGACAGTGTCTTAAAAACCCTTTACACAAAACCAAATCAAGTGCGAGTACCCTTCACCATGCTAATGCTGCTGGTTGCTAAAGCTAACACTATTTCTAACCCTTACATGTGTCCACCCTGCCTAGCCCCTTTGCTCTGTATGCTAAGCTTGCCACAGGCTCTGGCTCACCCTTGGACAGCCAAATGTCCACTTCCAGCAAGTGAAGTGGACTTTTCTCTCACCCTCACAATTGTCGTCTTCTACTGGTGACAGTTTATTACTTTGTTCATTCGCTTTACCATAAGGCTGTCGTCAATTTTAAGACATTTTGATTCCATCTGTTATCCTAAAATCTGTTAAAAGACATGATATGTACATCAGAAAGTAGGTTTTCATGACTGACACTGTTGTTAAGCTGTGGATCTTTTGAGATATTTAATTATAACATGATACCATAATCACATCTGTATGGGCAAATAAATAAAAAATGCATTGGACAGATGTTTAGATTTGACTGTTATTTCACACAAAGGTGTGATGACATTTGTTGTACTCTCAAAGATAAGAATGTTTAGGTGACGCTGGGCTACTGTGCCAAAATGTCTGCATTTTATTTATTTTAACAAGGAATATATTCATGACAACATTCTACTCCGTAGAATAGTAATGTCCCTGTTCCCCTTTGGGCAAATCTTGACTACTAGAGCCAGGTCTTCATTTTGGGCCATACTTTTCTATCAGCACCTCTATGTTTTTTCTAATAATATAATAGTTAACACTAGTGTGTAATAAAGTTTTTAGCCGTTCTCCATTAAACCCAGATATTTGAAGCTTAGATGAAGCTTGTCACAGACATTAATACATATATTTTATCTTGTGTATGTAGCAGTTTTACTGTGACTTAGTAAAAAGCTCTGGCATAGAGCTGCCACTCCATTTCTAACAACTGACTGAAGCCAGGTTAGACTACCGTTTGTGTTTACAGTGACATATGTAGGACTTCCAGAAGGCCTAGAGAAGTGTCATCTAGTTATGTTAGTTAATCTTACATGTAAGTCCTTCAGTTCAGCTCCTGAAGGCCTAACCATTGGCAGAACTTTAGAACTTGGCTTGATTTACCAAGATACATCATGGAGAATCCTATTGCTCAAATTTCTGTGGGGTGTTTTGAGAATGCATTTTACTTTACAATCATCATACTGACCCACATAACAGCTTCTCGTAAAGGTACAACCTCAGTTTAGCATCACTTAGTTGAGCCGCCTCAGCTCTTGAGATTCGACTACTGGAAATCACAGTTAAGTAAGAGCACATGTACTGTGGTGATAATCCATTTGAGTAAAACATTTAATAAAGATAATTATTTGATTGAATTTAGAGTAAAACCTTGCTTTGCAGAAAGAAGGTCCAATGCTTAAAGTTTCACTTTCTGACTAACTAAGCTAATCTATTAGCTTACTTGAATGTTAGCTTACATTAGCTATCTTAGCTTGCTAACAGTCAGTTGCAACAGTCCATATAGGCAATGGCTTTTCGGTAAATAAAAGCTGGACTGCTTGTTCTAAACAAATCAAATACTAAAAATAGCAGTTTAACTGAATGAGTTAGCTGGCTAAGTAAACGTGGAGTAAAATTCGAGAGTAAAATAAAATGACTATAATGTAATTATTCTCAAAGTACCATTAATTCTTTGCTGTAATGAGTGATTGCGATTGGATACTTTGCAAATCTGACTATAGAGCGGTGAATATTAATCACTATTATGACAGCCTTACAGTGAAGGGTATGAATAAGTTTTTACCAAAGATCCGGTCTGCCTTTCATAATTCTCTCTGCTCCGTTCTGCTGTCTTTTCACAGTGGTGCATGAGGTGGGCGCGGTGGCCAACGGCGTACACCAGCTCAGCTCATCCGAAGTGGAGGAGCTGATCCACAAGGCCGATGAGATCACCATGAGCGAAGGCAGCAGCAAGGCCACACCAAAGCGCGAGGCCGAGGAAGAAGAGAAGGCCAAGACAGAGGCGGAGCCAGCAGGGGGCGGTCCCACGGCCATTAAGGAGATCACAGGTGTGGAAGCCAAGCCGGCGGCAGCTGCCCCACAAGCGGAGGTGAACGAGGCCAGCGCGGAGAACCCGGTCACCATGGTGTTCATGGGCTACCAGAACGTGGAGGATGAGGACGAGACGAAGAAAGTGCTGGGGCTGGAGAGCACCACCGTCAAGGCCGAGCTGGTGGTCATTGAGGATGGCGAAAATAAGAGCGCTCCCAGCGAGGCCAAGGAGGAGCAGGAGGCTCCCCCCAACGGGGGCCCGGCTGAGCCGGACAAAGCCCAGGAGGCCTCAGGAGAAGCCGGAGAGCCGGAGGCCGGGAAGGCTGAGATCAAAAGCAAGGAGAAGCAGCCGTGCAAATGCTGCTCCATCATGTGAGCCCAGGGCACACTCCCTTACGGAGGGAACTGGAACTTGACGCTCAGAATGGTGCACCGTGACGCCGCGCAGACGAACCAACACCGACGCAAAACGAGAGGAGAGAAAACACCTTGTATCTTTTGATAGGAAGCTCTTGTTTTCTTACTTCATTTGTACCTGTTTTATAATTTCTTTTTTTTTTTATTTCTATTTTTCCCTTTCGTATCTTTTACCCTCCTCCATCTTCTTCTCTGTTTTGGTTTTGTTGTGACTGAGATGAATGCTCTCAAACGAGTGGCACTTGTTACCACACTTTCCACAAAGAGATTTTGCAGATGAAGTGAATTTTTTTTCTGTTTCTTTCTTTTTTTTCACTCTCTAGCTTAAAGTTTACCACGCATCGCTCGACAAACCCTTTTCCAGCTTTCACCTCTTATACGCAGTCATGGATTTTTGTAGTCTTACCTTTCCATATGAAGGACTCCTGTATCTCTGTAACTATAATATATATGAGTCATTTATTTTTAATATATATTTATTTTATTTTACATTACTTTCTCAACCTCCCTATTTTTCTTTTTTTTTCTTTTTTTTGGCAGAAGCATGAAGTGCTCTCTGGCCCTGCTAATGCATTTTATCTTTCTCCAAAAAGAGAACAGTGGGGGGGGAAAGAGGGATCATCTCAAAAATTGTACTGATCAAGCTGTGAGAAAAGACATTTTCCTGCTATTGGACTAAAAGTAATGTGGGATTCCAGTTCTATATGCCACACTGAAACTTGGAGTAGTACATGCAATGGAATGTCAATGCTAGGGAAGTTTATAGGTCTACTGAGTTCAGATTTGCAGTGCAGCGTATACGTGTGTGTGTGTGTCTGTGTGTGTGTGTGATTGTGATGGTGCTGCTGTGTGAAATAGTGAACCACTTCTGATCGATCTGTCTCAGGCATTGGCAGAAAAAAATTGTACATCAGTGGTACCGCAAAATAGGCCTGGGCGATATCTAAAATAATTAGCACAGTATTTCTTGGTTAACAATTAACGGTTTTTGATTATATCACCACATAAACACACATACATGCACTACACTAGAGCTTAGGCTGCCTTCAGGTCTTCTTCTAAAGCTCCTTTTTATGATTTCGGTGGTCTTAAGTCCAACATGATGGTATTCGAGTGGTGGTTGAAGTGTTTTGTTCAGAAACAAAATGGACAGCCTGGAAAAAAAAATCTTTTTGTTTCTGATATCAAAAACAGGATGTTATTTTGGGTGTTTTGTTCAGTGTGTTTCTATCCAGCACTGAATCACATTCATGTGCTCATATCCCAGTATATTTTCAGCAGCATTAGACCTGCTTGCCATTCTGATTTTATCTCTTTTTTTTAATTAACCTATTTAATGAAGTATAACTGAGTAAAACTTCTGTTTTAGCTTTCATCAAATTGTTAGTGCAAACTAGGGTTGAAATCCCAAACAGAATTCCATTCCAGGCTTTGGATTCGATTCCATACAGTGACGTCAAAGTTTGCCCACTATTGTGAGCACACAGGGTGTGAAATTTCCGCTGTCTCTGTATGAAAATACATCCTTCTACAGATTAAACTGACAGTCCAGCTTTAATTTAGACAAATTAGAAAACAAAGTAAAATGTAAAATTTGTAATGAAAGTATTGATTTACAATCAAACAGCCTTGCCTGTGTCAAAACATGTACCCATCTGAAGAAGTTGACGGAGGAGAATCAGGAACAACCAGCGTCCATAAGTCCAGTCCAATTAGCATTCCAAATTTCCTTGCAGTGGTCAGATATAATTAATACGGTACGCTTTGTATTTACCAGATGTCCTTCTTTATGTCATGTTTTTTTAGGAATCAATATCATTGTGTGGAATCGACTCCTTCAACTCTTTCTGTCACTTGGAATTAGGATCAACTGCAAAATTTCTGATACTTGACAGCCTTGCTGCAAACATGGCTAAGTCCTTATAGGAGAGTCTGTTCACTCAGTCTTGGCAATGCCTCCGAGCAGTTATTTCCAATCATCCAAGACGGGGCTCCTATCTCTTTTAATGGGGAGAAACATATAGATCCATAAATAAAAGCCTCATTAACATTTCAATAACTGAAATTTTTGGTAAAATCTGACAATAATAACATAAATAATTTGTAGTGATTGACTCAAATAATACACAAAAACATGTTTTTATAGGGTTGTTCAGGCTACTGGACTTCTCCACAGCAGGGGTGGGGGGGGAGTGGGACTTGACCTGTAAACATGCTGTGTTGACCGTTACGAGCTGTCCCATTCATTTTTCAACCAGTGACCTGTCTCCTTTATAAGGTCTGTGAACACAGGCATTTGTGTGCTCCTTCTGGTGTGGGTTCAGGGTGACTTATGTGTGAGTAGTGCCTCCCCCTGCTGGAGAAACAGACTCAACACATGCTCAAAATGAGCACATTCCAAAGCCACATCCATGTGCTTTACATATAGGAATAAGATGTTTTCCATCATAGTGGAGGTGCGCTGGAATTTAGTTATAGATCCCCATCAAAAGCAGTGGAAAATTGACTCTACCACGACTAATTAATGCCCCATAGTAATCTATTGTTTTAACAGTAAACGTGAATAAAACCAGGTGGCTAATTCAGGTTCGGAGAATAAAAACCCTTCACAGGATTTTGTTCCAACTGCCCAGCTTCCCTAGTTCTCTAGCTCAAACCAGCAGCTGAGGTATCTGTGCAGTTGGACCTGAGATAAACATCTTTAATGCTGTTTAAGATGAAATCAGTCCTCTAATGCTCTCTTTCCCAGCACGCCCAGGCCCATTATCGCCCAGGCCTACTGCAAAAGAAACCTGCTTTAGTGGCACTGCACCTCTTCACTTTTATCAACCCCTCCCACATTCACTCACACACATTGTCATGCCTGCTTTTCTCCCTCACAATGGTAAATTCTGCATTCTTTGTCTTTACATTCTTATTCAGAGACGTAGTTAAGGAGCATCACTAGTATTAAAGAGAGTGGTCTTTCATATTGAAAAGTCGGACTGAGGCAATGATATGATTCTCTTCCTGACAGTCTTGATTTCTTGGTGTTCAGTATTTTTTCTCAGTCCGTTTCCTTAGCACCTGTACCCACCGGTGAAATCTTAGCCCTTTTTATGTGAACGGCCCTTGAAGTACTTGTCTATGTATTTTCTGGATTTCGAGTATTTAAACAGCCTGAGGTAGAAAGCTGGTTATAAAGGGAGGCGAGTCCAGATCGGCATGCCATGCCAATTTACACTGCCTTCGGTCTCCTCTCAGGCAGAGCCATCCGCAGCGAGAAGTTAACGATTTGCTGGAGCCAAAACTATGCAAGAACCATCATGTACGCAAGTCCGCATCAGCAAGCGTTCATCCAGTCTGTTCAGCAGCCCCTCTTGGATAGTGTTCTGCAATATTGATACATGCTTTTGAATGGTTTGGAAACCGCTCAGAACTAATTATGCAGTGTCGCAGAATTATCAACAGGCAATTCTACCAGCTTTTACTGTTTCATCATCATGTAGTTTAGGTCTGGTAGGTGCATATGATAGCACACAAAAAAATCTGCATGCCAAAAGTAGTACACAGAAGCAAAAATGTTGATTTTGTTTTTAAAAATTGGTGAACGCTACCATTCAAAAGTTTGGAATCAGTCTTTTCAATAATGTAAAACTAAATTGGTTCCAGATAACTGTGTAAAGATCGTTGTACCAAATTGGTTTAAAGTCAAATTGGTTTAAATAGTTGAAAACACAGTTCTTTAGTCTAAAAGCCTTTTGCTTTCAGTGTTTCTGTACCTTAATTAAGTTTATTTTACTGAAACAAATGCTTTAACGTTCCACTTTGACACTACCAAAACAATCAACACTACTGAAACTTTACCAAATGTTTCAGTAGTAGTGACAGTTTTGGCTAATACTGGGGGGAGCCAGTCCTTGACTAGCAAACATGGCTTTGAACGGTTGTACACACATAAAATCATAATATTTTTCATTAAAATGCAAAAACTGCTAAATTGCTGAACATTCTGACTGATTTTCAGACTTTGGGACATCTTTTCGGAAATCTTTCAGTTTCACTAAAAAACAACATTGAGAAAATACATCAGTATCATCATACAGTATCATTTTCTCAAGTTAAAATTAAGGGGTCAGGATTTGGGACTTTCTAAATGATGATTTTGAATGAATATTTACCTTATTACTGTTTCAATTAATGTCTTGGGTTAGAATAGAACTTAATTCTTGTAAATATCTAAGGTCTGAAATTTGTTTTATTAAATATTGTTTTACTATGTGAGTTTCAACTAATCTGGTGGAACGTTACACAAATGACTGTGGATGATTCTAGTTAGTCCTGTGCCACTTTACAGCTTTTAGATATTTAGCATGACGCTAGGAAGCTGTAAATAATAATGAAGACATTTTTGATGTGTCTAGAATGAAGAACGAAGAAAAATTCTAAAATGACAGAGACAATAACATCAGGAATTAAGTTATAATAAAAACGAATAGCAAGAATTCATCATACTGCAAAAGTGGTGATCAAACCTCAAGGCAGATAACTTGACAAAAAATTAATAAAATGACTTTGTAAACAGATCATTACAGTATTTATTGTTAAATAAATTCTTGAAAAATGTAATAAAACATCTGAAAAAAACCTTTTGGTGAATATGTTAATATTACAAGTGATTCCAAACTTTTGAACGGTAGAAAACGGTGAAAATTGCTTTGCAAAATGTGCTCTGTAACACTTATTCATGTATTACAAAGACGGCGCTGAAGGTTCTCGTGGTGCTAAATCTATCCAAACTGTCATGCAGCAGGTCTTTCCAAATCGCAGTCTTACAGCCAGCCCAGCCTCGCAGTAGCTACAAACAGCATCGCTTACTATTCCAGTGTATCAGATTTGCCCTGAAAACATCTCATGTATGCATTTATACTTTGAGCATGTGTGCTAACAACAAAGTTCAAACTCTTATTTTGCTAATTATTTACTTCATTTAATTCATTTATTCTTTGTAAGCAGATAGTGAACCACGTTATCAGCTAACCTGTTTTTATTTAGGAGTATGAAATTTGCATTGTGCTTTTTCAGTGGCGCCACCACCCTCGTCTGGAGGTAATGTGTTCGGGACAGCTTGGTAGTTGCGTGAGCGTGTTGGTGTGTGTCCGTGCGAGTGTGTGTATGTGTGTGTGAGAGAGCATGTGTGCATTCCTTTCAGAACACAACGGCATTAGCGGTAATCGTGTCTGTATAACTGCACTTATTCTGGGAAGATTTCCGTGGGGAATCTTTGGCGTGTGCCTTGTGGCTAGAATAGTTCTGACAGAGAGCCAAAGGTGGACAGAGCTAGTGGAAACCCCTTGTGTGTCCATACGAACCACGAGACCTCCTGTCCCATTCGCGAGGTTTTTCATGGGTGTGATGCAGTGTCGGTGGAGCTGTATGTGAAAGGCCTAGTCTTGAAGTAGCTCCCCCTTCCCTCCGGCCTCAAAGCGATAGCTCGACAAAAAGTCAACTGTACACAGCTTTCCTGACCCGAAATGTAGTCGAGTAGTACGGCGCTAATTTAGAGCCAAAACATAGAACGTGTTTTGTAAATGCCCAACTAAAACACACAGCGTGGTTTACGAATACAAAGTGTGACGATCCCTCACTGTGTGCTTTGCAAATACACTTGAGTGACTTTAAAACATGTACAGAATTTTTTTTTCTAATACATCACATTTAACAAACAGGAAAAAAAAACAATAAAGGATGGCTTTCAAATTGATCGCTGTCATATTTCACAAGCAAATACCAGTTCTACAAACCTTTCCTAGACAGTTAGACAGTAGGTGTCGCTATGGATCCACTTCTGTTTCTTTGGTAACATAGTTTGCATTTGTAACACATGTAGTACCTGTATGTTAAGTGTGATGTATTAAAAACAGCTCTGTACTTGTTGTGTATTTGCAAAGCACATTGTGTTTGTTTGATCGTCACGTATTGTACTTGTAAACCTTGCTACGTGAGCAGGGCAGGAGTGCCCAATCCTGGTCCTGGAGATCTACCACCCTGGACAGCTCAGATCTAAAACACTCTAGCTCTAATATTCATATGCCCCTCAAGGCCTTCATTACCTGGATCAGGTGTGTTAGATCAAGGTTGGAGCTAAACTCGGCAGGGTGGTAAATCTCTAGGACCAGGATTGGGAACCCCTGTATATGGCATTTATTTATGTTTTGGCGCTACATTGGCTCCATAGGTTTAGCTAAGACGTTTTTGATGTCCAGAGTTTACTTTTGTATTTTGAACTGGAGCTAGTAATGGCCAAGTAATGGAAGCTTATAGGCACCAGTTAGAATTGCTTAAGTAGCTTTGTGCAAACTACCCAGTTTTAGCTGTACTTGAAAGCATGCAAAGCTGGCTGTGCAATACACGACTTGTAAAATGCTAACAAATTTTACACTAGAATTCAGATGTTCAATGAATCAGCTTAGTGCTTACTTTGCAATTAGAATGATATTCTATGGTATCTGCAGGTCATTGTAAAGCCATGTGTAGCAGTTTGAACATTTTGCACAAAATAGCGCTGTCAGCACTCAAATTGCTGAAAGGGAGGAAACCCACACCAGCAGGAATTCAGTTATGTTTGCAGTTACAAATTTCATGTACATAAAGTTAAATTAAATGTTTGCTGTTATAAATTGCATGTATGATTACTTGACTAATCACCAAAATAATAGCTAGATTACCCAATTACTAATATAAGCAATGTTGACAGTCATACAACAGCAGTTTGAGCTACAAATAAGCACTCATAATAAACAAAGCTGAAACTGGACCAGACTTTTTTGTACTTTTATGCAAACAGATGAAGCGTAGCAAAACGCTAAACGGTTTGGAGAAACGTGGATATCATTCTTTTTTGCAGAAAGAGTGAGTGCCTTGAAGTTATATTCTAACTAAGTTATGTTAGGAATGTTATATAGGCACTGATGCATTTGCCAAAGTTCAACACGCAGCTCCTCCATCTCTGTCACTCGGCCATTGTTCAGTTGTTACTGAACATCTCAAGCTACAAGTCCTGAACATTTTAGTCATAAAAATCAGCCATATTTAAAAATATCAAGAAGGCCTTTGATCACTCGGGAGCTAGCTCGAAGGTTGAAGTTTGACTTGTTTCGCTTTCATGCTACCGTATCATCTGCGTCTTCAGTTGCTTTCGATCGAGATCCTGACCTAATTGTAAAATATTTTTGGAAAAGGCAAATCGGTTTTCAAATCAGGCTAAAAATCGTGAACTGTACACCCAGCTTAAGCAAGTACCATTTGATGTTATTTAGCAGCTCAACGTGGTTTAAGAAAGCATGTGATGATTTAGGCCTGCATTTTGCACAGTGGTAATTAGCTTCCATTAATTGTCAGCAACCTTAGCCTCAAAGCTCCAGTACAAAACTAAAGAAGGTAACTTTAGACACTAAACATTTCTAGGATGACAAACAACATTTGGGGTAAGCATTAACTTTTATGACCAATTCCCATTTCTTTACAACCAAGTTGACCACTAGTCGATTTCGGACATCAAACATGACTACATTTAAGATGGGGAAGGTTGTGTAAATTTTATTTTTCACCACACCATCGCTTTAAACCCCAACCATAATGGCAGAAGAGCAAAAACTGACCCCAGAGCGGTGATTCTGGGCTTCCTCTACCATCGCCCTGACTCGCACAGCACTGTGAGCATTACAGTTACCTCAGATTTCTGCTCAGCACCGCCCCCTACTGTTTGTCAGTACTAACATTCCAGTTCCGACGTGTTCCACAGCCCCGAATGCCTTGTAGCCTGGCCGCCTCTGGCCAGGCACTACTCTTTGTAAATGTGCATGCTTTTTATAGCTATAGCCATCATATATCTACATATCCATATCCATGTTGGGTGATGTGTCCTCCTCCCTGTAGTCGAAGCCTCCCTTACCTTCTGTAATGTCAGTGAGATCGGTGTATTGATCATAGTGTCTAGGAGCATGATCAGTGAAGGAGTTGGACGTCCTGAGAGTGTCAACAAGGTCACTTCCTCTATTTCCTCCTTGAAGGATGGGCCTCTCTTAGCTGTTTGCCTGGGGTGTGTGTGCTTGTGTGTGCTTGTGTGTGTGTGTGTGCGTGTGTGTGTGTGTGTGTGTGTGCGTGTGTGCGTGTGTGCGTGTGTGTGTGTGTGTGTGTGTGTGCTCCCACTGCCACTGCTCTGCGCTTTGTCAGTTGTGAAGGTCTGCTTTCTTACCGACTTGAAAGTGCTGTAGAATGAGTTTGAAATGAGATATTAAAATGTGATGTGCTTTAAGAAAGTCGTCGACTGTGTCCTGTCTTATTTTTCGCTCTTTTAAAGGGCCTATATCATGTCCGTTTAATGTACTAAGCAAGCACTGTTAATGTTTCAAAATGTCCCTGTTCATATATGAAACCTAAACTGCAGAACCAGCCCATCACCTGTCATGACTGTCAAGTCAAAAGTTTCATGTCAAAGTTTATTTATGTAACACTTTTTACAACAGGTGTTGTTACAAAGCAGCTTTACAGAAAAATGCAAGCTCAAGCCCCTATGAGCGATAGTGGCAAGGAAAAGCTCCCTAAGAACAAAAGGAAGAACTCTGGAGAGGAACCAAGACTCATAAGGGAAACCCATCCTCCTCTGGTTGACACCGGATAGAAACACAGTAACAGCAGAGAATAATTGTGACATCAAAACCACAACTGAAACTGCCCTCAGCAGTTTAGCCCACTCATTTACATTTAAGTGATAAGGTGTGTTGTTACTGCAGACAGGCTACAACAGCCTGTTTTTGAGCAAAGCACAGTTTATGGCTGCCAATCATAACTGAGGTCATTTACAAATCGCCATTTTTGTCATTTTTCAGATTTTGTCATAATATGAAAATGCCTGTTTGATGCACGTATATAGTTTGTACATTTCATAATGAATGGATAAAAAAATGGTCCAAAATTACTCTGAAACTTACATTAAAACTAAAGTATGTTTTTTCCTTCTTCTGTAAAGTTAACATTTAGATATTAGAGATAACAACAGCGATATTTTATGGTTTTTGGTTTTGGTGCATAAAACAACACAAATGTTATAGACCTCAAATACAAATATATAGACAAATGTAGAATATCTGCCCAATAACACTAGAAAGGCCATTAGGATCATTTTAACAGCTTTGAAATTTTGCTATAAATTAAACCCCCAGTATCTGCTGTTCCCTGACTGTATATATGTATACTTTATGCATAATGTGTGTTTTAATGCAATGCACAATGTACATTTTAGTATAATATTGTTAAGAGATTGATGTTAAAAATATATTAAAAAACAAAGTTCTGAGTGGTCAGTTTGACTGTACACATTAGACTGTGTTTCGGCTCTGCTGACTCTTTGTTCCTCTCCATTAGATAAAGTGGAGAGGCTAATGGGCATCTTGCTGACCGCTTGTATTGGTGGTGATGTGCATTAAATGTCATTTATTTCGAAACTCAGAATTAAAATCTGTCATCCAGATATTTCTTATGACGTTCCCAACAATACAATGATCACACAGTGAAAATGACCTCTGTGGCCTTTCTAGCAATTATGGAATTCTGGCCTTTCTAGCATTAATACTGAAAAGGAATTGTGTTCACTGCCACTCACATGCCCTCCCCAGCGGTGGTAATATTGTAGGGAAATACATTCTTGTCTTTAAGGCTGAACACTTACATTGGTGTACAACTCACAGTCGAATATAATTAGAGGACTCTGAATATCAGATCAGAGCACACTCCCTTCCACTTAGGCCCGGGAGATAAAACTGTAAGTTAGCTTTGTGAAAGGAATTTAATCACTTAAAGTCAGTCATTTTTTCATATCTATAATATGTGGTTGATATATTTTTGACAAATGGTTATGCTGTGATTGTACTGTTCCTCAATCAGATCTTAGCAGCAAAGGCTTTAATTTTCAGTAGTTGCTACTCGGGTTCACTATGTACCGGTCAATGGCTGGTGACCCTCCCTGACCCTAGTCCTTATTCCAAAGTAGAATCTCACAAGACTTGTTAAAATTCAAAGATATATATATATAAAACACCTCTTGTGCCTTTTAAACACCCCTCACCTGTAGCAGCGCTCATCACCAGCAATGCAGGCAGTTAGCAAGTTGCCCAATAGCCACTTTAGCATAGCATTCAAAACTGCAGCTTAATGTGTCCACTTTCTTGATGAGAAAGTGCTAGTCTAGTTTGCTAATGTTACCTCACTGTCTATTTAACAGTTTAACCGTGGTGCTTTTTGCACGATTGATAAATGTAAAGTATCTGTGCAACACAGACATGAAAAAAGCGTAAAATGCTTTGGGTTAATAATGTGAGTTTAGTAGCTAAATGAGGAGAGATAAGGCTATGTATTCACTCAGTCTCTCAGTTTGTTAGAGTTGGCCAGCTAGCTACTCTGATATGTTTAGTTGTATTTTACATAAAACAAAACAACAAAAAAGCAAAAGTCAGAGAGCCCTTAGATTATTTCATTTCCATTCTAAATGGTCATTCAGTTATTCAGTTTTGAGCATCAGGGAAAAAAAGGAACAGAAAATTACATAGAAGTTTCAAAAACTAAATATGTTTTTGTCAGTATTTAGTGTGTCCACATTTTGACTTTATCGCAGTTTCTGTTCTTTTCAGGAGACTCAGTACAGTCTTAGAAGTTGTTTGCATTTTCTGCTTCTCACTTTAGAATCATCAGTTCATTAAACCTTCCTCCACATCTCAGATCCCAAATCCCAGTTTTGGTGTTCTCATGCAAATGTCTGTTTCCTTTTCTCAGTGAAGGCATTTTGACAGCTACACATCCTATTAGACCTATAGTGTTGAAGTTGTCTTCTCACAGTGGATTATTTCAGATCTGAAGTAAGAGTGGAGCTTGATTTTCTCCTCTCTCTCAAAGAGGAAAGCTTTAAGTACTCATTATCTGATGGTGACACTTTTTACCGGGTACCAGGGCTGCGTTCAGCCCAACAAAACGTAGCAAAATGTTGATTTAAATGGAAATGGTGGTGCGTTGAACACCAAGCGTTGCAACTACGGCAGCTGAGGAGGCCATTCTATTTTCTGAGCCTGATGAAATGGGTGTAAATGTGTGTTTAATACTTTAAAGTACGTCTTTTAACGGTGTCGCCCCACAATAATGCAAACACCAAGTAGCTGCATTTGTAAAAAACTTTAATAAAATGCCTTTTTAATATGGCAGGGTTTATATACACGTCACTACTGATTTGGTAACACCTCTGACACATCCATCAAAAGCTACCTCAAAGCCCATTACACACCATTTTACATTGTTCCAATGAAACATGTCGCTCAACCTGGAAAGCATAGCAAAGCGGAGCACAATGTTTTGAGGCTGAACGCGCCCCAATTTGTGAACGGCTGTTAAAAGTCCCTTTTTCTCTGCATCATTTATTATTAATTTTCTGGTCTTCTTCTGACACAGAAGAATAACTAACTTTTATGGTATTTAATGGCCATTTTGACTGGAAATGAAAAAGACAGAAAGGTCAGCTTCTGCACACTACATTTTATCTGAATAAGCTATTTTTATTTCTTCAAAATTGTTAAGTATTATTGAGGAGAGTCATATAATAATTTTCAATCATAAGCAACATTCAGTGATATGGAAACATATATCATGGTAACATTTTTGGCCGTGCCCGGTGCTACGTCCACTGCAACAGGAGTGTTTTTCAGGGCTAGTCTAAGAGAGGCCTTAGCGTTCTTGTTGCCATTGTTGGAGGCTAAAGGCCCTATGGGGGTGAGGTGGGGCTGTATTATGTGGATGGTGGTCGGCTATTCTTTGCTTTTGTCTAAGGCTTGCTGATGGTCAGCAGCATTCCAGTCTGATATCCCTGCTCTCAGCACACACACACACACACACACACACACACACACACACATATACACACACATACAAACACACACTCACCTCCCAAACTCACACATGCATGTACACACACACACACACACACACACACACACACACAGCAGCTGTAGTTGGAATATAACAACACTTGGCTCCCAGCACAGTCGCTTTGGGCTTTGTCTGTTTGGCTAATGCCTCCTGGACCACACACTCACACTGGTGATGCTCTGAAATGCACACACACAAACACACACGCACATCCAGCTAGAATGGAGGTGGGGCTTTACCAGAGCCATCCAGCTCAAACTACTACCAGTGGGCCAGGATTTAGCGGCATGCCTGGCTGGCAGGGGCCTCAGCCTGGGTGACATCTATGCACACTGGGATGGAACAGACTACAGTGATATCCTCTTATCTGACTGGGACACCGTTAAGAATGAGGTGAGTATACCTACCTCACATAGACCTTCTGAGTACAGATCCAAATTTCATGATTTAATTAATATCACACATATGAATACTGGCCACTGAATTAGGTACACCTACTTTGTATCAGCTCCACTTACCATGTAGGTGCACTTTGTAGTTCTATAATTACAGACTGTTTCTCTGCATAATTTATTAGCCCCCCTTTAACCCGTTCATCAGGACCCCCATGGGACCACCACTTAACAGGTATTATTTAAGTGGTGGATCATTCTCAGCGCTGCATTGAAACTGATGTGGTAGCAGGTTTGCTGGAGCTTTTCAATTCTCTGTACACTTATTGTCCACTCCTACCCTGTTGGTCCACCTTTTAGATGTGAAGTCAGAGAGGATAGCATTTCTGTTGCTGCACAGTTTGTGTTAGTCACCCTCTTGTTCATCAGTGGTCAGTTTCTGGCCCCAGGATGCTGTTGGCTAGATGTTTATGGTTGGTAGACTACTCTTAGGCCAGCAGTTCTTTTAGTCTTGGGGGGCCAAAGTGTAATATAATATTTGGCCGAGGGCCAAAGAGACAAATTAGCTAGCTAGCAACTCATCAGCTTCAAGTTTTTGCACATTGCCAGTTGCCGAGAAACTGTATTCTTTAAATACTCCAGTTGTTTCCTTGCATACAAAACACACAGCTTCACCTTTAAACTTGGTGGAAAAACATTCTTCATACTGGTGGTCTCGATGTCCTCTTGTCCGTGACCCATTAGCTGTTACACTCGAACATGTTGTTAGACTTGCGCTGCAATTTCAATTGTATGGTCAAGGCTCAGATTTTTAATAATATAACACCATATGCTGTGTTACAAAAAGCATTTTATATTTATATAAAGCAAAATAAGAAGTTAAGAAATAAAATGTGTAGTAATATGTGTTCCATCATTGTGTGAGGCGGTGGGGTTAGGTTGACTTTCTGGTGGGCCAA